GGATAGGGTGTGTGTGTGTGTGTGTGTGTGTGTGTGTGTGTGTGTGTGTAAAGGGGAGGGGGCTTCTGAAAAGGCCACCATCTCAGGGGGTGGGGAGGCCAGGAAGCTTAATGGAGCCTGGGGGCTCCAGACACAGGAAATTCCCAGCAAAACCATCTTTCAGCTCCGATTTCAGCACTCAGGATGTGGGCAGGCCCTCCCCTTCCCAGGCCCCAGGAAAGGCAGGAAATCAGGGTCACTGCGGACCCCGGGCCCACCAGCCCAGCGGGAGACCAGGAAGTCAGGAGGCTGATGGACAAGCTATCACTGCCACATGGCCAAGAAGGGAGGGAGTTCAGAGGCGCCTTGTGGCCACAGAGGGCCAGGACCGGAGAACCCTGCACCCAGCAGGGCAGGTTGTCTCTTCCAGGTTCCCCACACCCCAAGCCCTCTGATACCTACCCACCCTGCCCCCTTCATCCCTGGACACTCCCCTGCTCAAACAATCTCCGTGGCTCCAGGCAGAAATGAGTACAACGAGGATATATTTGGGGAACCCAGGAAGGAAATGGACGAGCTTGGTCAGAGCATCTTGTAGGAAAGATCCCCCGTGCAGCTCTGGACGAACAGTGAAGAGGGGGCTGGGCTGGGGGCCTGGGAACGGAGAGATGTGGCAGCAGCGAGGCCCCAGATTGGAGGCGCTGAGCAGCCCTTGATTGGAGAACAGCATCACCTGGTGGCCGCGCTGTGGAACTACACCTCCTTCATTCAACTCAAGAAGCCCGCACCGTCATGGAGTTACTAATCTCTCATTTCTGTGCAGGGACATCCCATAGGGTCTTCTAGGCTGTCCTCTTAAGGGGGACTGAGTGCCAGACCTTTCTTGCCCGGTGCTTCTCAGAGGCACTGGAACCACCAGCTTTGAGGTTACTAAGCAAAGACAAATCATTTGTTCATCCAAGAGACATTGATTGGGAGTCATTGGCATGCCCAAGGTATCTGACACACAAAATGGATCTTTTTTTCACCTGCCTCCTTGCTAGGAAAATAAAATTATCTTCAGAAATCGTCACGAAATGAAACAACTCCTAGTAATGGCCATAAAGAAATGCAGACCGTGAAAATCGTGTTTACTGTCTGAGATGTGGTGCTGGAGAATAATCTGTCTCAGAAGAAGTACGGCCAGAGGGCCCCTTGGAAACGAGGCTGGCAATGCTTCGCCTTACCTACTTTGGACATGTTGTCAGGAGAGACCAGTGCCTGAAGAAGGACACCATGCTTGGTAACGTGGAGGGGCAGGGTAAAGAGGAGGCCCTCCAGGACATGGACTGGCACCGGGGCTGCAACAGTAGACTCGGGCACAGGGACAGTGGGGGGGTGGGGCAGGAGCAGGCAGTGTTTCCTTCTGTTGTGCATACAGCCGTTGAGTCGGAACCGATTCAACGGGACCTAAGAACAACATGGACAGCGTGACCAGTGGACTGCTCCTACTGCCCTGGACACTCCCCTGCTCAAACACTCTGTGGCTCCAGGCAGAGGGAACAGCACGAGCAAGAGCTGACCAGGAGTGAGGTCAACAAGGACATGTCAGGCAACCCTGGAAGGGGGAGGAAGGACTCAGAGGGGGGATGGGCAGGATCCCACATGTGGCTGAGGGGTGACGAGTGCAGGGAGAGGACTAGACCCAGGAGCCCAGAAAGGAGTCTTTCTCCTGAGCCAACAGCTCTGATGTAGGGCGTGGGGGATGTGTCACCAAGTTGAGGATGGGGGTGGTGTGGTAGTTACATAATCTGGTGTCTACTTGAGACAATTAAGAGTGAATGGGGTGGAGTTTAGCCTGTCAATCGGGTCATAGCTTGATGACCTCATTTGGAGGCGCTCTGGAGATCAAACAGCTCACTGGAGGCCAGAAACACTGACTCTCTGTGAAACATTCCTGTTGACACGCCACATGGAGCTGGAGGAGCCACATGGAGACCCACGCCAGCGCTGAAATCCTTCCAACGCTACTGGATCCACAAGACCTCCCACCCACTGGCCTGTGATCTTCCTGCATTCAATGTCATTGCATGTGTTACGTGAGTCTGAAGAGGAATTTTCAGGCTGGTATCAGACATATGGGCTAATATCAGACTTAGGGACTTGATCTGGTCTGGGCTGGGATGTTTTCTTAATATACAATTACTCTGTTATATAAAACTATTACACACAGATTTGTTTCTCTAGTCTACCCAGACTAATACAGGCGGGATGCAACTTCAAGAAGAAACTCAGGCGGCAGGCCCCTTTTCCCCTGACCTGCTGGGTTCACGCTGACGCCCAATTCTCCCCAAGGAGAAACGAAGACCGCAGGAGCTTGGAGACAGCCCTTCTGTGTGTCTAAGCAGGTGTTTGGGGAATACAGGGATGCAGATTCCATCTGTGACTGTCTGGGCCGAGGGAGGAAGGTGGGGGAGGGCAAGTGGGAGGCTGGGTGACAGAATTACCTGAAGAAATTTTGAAACACACCCACGTATTTCCCTGACGTTTGTCCGACACTCTCCAGCGATCCGACTGGTGAGCCCACGTGGAGAACGGCCCAGCCCATGCAGCTCAGACAGGAAGGAAGCTGAGGCCAGTGGTGCTCACAGCATCCCCACTCCACCCCCACCTGAAACGCAGAGGGAACTACCCCAAGGCCATGGAGCATACTGTAATGGAGACAGGATGTGAACCCAGGCTGCTGGCGATGCTCTCCCGGCCCAGGCAGGGGTGGGATGGCATCAGAGCCTGCCTGCTTGAGGACACGGCATGTGCCACTCTGCCCCAGCCTCTCACTGGTCACCAAGATGCTTCCAAGATGGACACGGGAGCTGCCCAGCCTGGTCCTCCGAGCAGGAGGCAGGGGACTAGGGAGTGGGCATCCAGGTGTGGCCCACACAGAAAAGCGCCCCTCCGACATGTCTTCCCATCAGCCCTCCCAGTAACGCAGCTCCCACCCCGCCCCACGTCGCAAAAGATGGGGGTGCGCAACGCAGACAGAAGCTGGGTTTATTCCCGGAGCTGAGGGCTCGCTGCCCGGGAGGGCTGCGTCCACCCCGTCAGAAGGCAGGGAACACAATCAGCCCCAGAGAACTCCCCAATAAATACCAGCCCAAGACCAGGCCACACAGCACACACACACCCCGGGAGTGGTGGTGGGGGGGCTCCCCACACCCATCCTCTCTCCTTAGTCGGAGAAGAGAGCGGCCAGCTAGGGGATGTGGACAGGGGTGGACCTGAACCTGGCCAGAGTGAAGGCCCTGGGAGAATGGAGCCCAGGCAGCAGGGAGAAAGCTGGGGCCTGGGGTCCAAGGCAGAGGTCTTCAGGCCCTGGGGCACGTGAGCTCAGGTGGACGCAGCCTCAGCCCCCTGCCCACCCCCATCAGGCCCCCCAGCCTTGCTTGCCAAGCTGTAGTAATAGGTCCGCATACGCTGCTCCACTGTCAGGAAGTCTGGGCGGTCCTCCCACCTGCGGGGCAGATAGAGAGCCACTGACCACACACACCCCCACCCAGAAGCCAACTAGCAGAGGGTGGCAGGTGTGGGCATAGCTAGGTGAGCCTGGGCCTTTCAGGGTTCGGAAAATCAGCAGGAGGCCCGCTGGGCCTGTGGGGTATTGGCTTCTCCTAGGGTGCTCTCCTGGGTGTGAGCACTGCAGTCTGGGGGTTACTGTGTCCGCCTGGGAGAAGCAGGCTGTTGGCATACAAGATGCCAGGCTACCAAGATACTGAACGTTGACTGGTGAGGACTTGGGAATGGAATTCATCGAAACTGAGGAACAACTTCTGGCCATAGGGAGCTGGGGTGTTAAGAGCTAGGGTCCTGTGTACCATGGGTTGGGGTATCCATGTGTGCGCGGATGTTGTCCACAAGGAGCTCTGGTGGCACCATGGTGCTCAGCCAAGAACTGCAGTGAGCAGTGTGAACCTTTCAGCTGTTCTGTGGGGAAGGGTGAGGCCATCTGCTTCCATAACAGCGTTGGCTTAGGAGATCCTCGGGCAGTTCTAGTCTGTCCTTCAGGCTTGCTATGGGGCAGAATCAACTTGAACGCACAACATGTCGCCTACCATTGAATGGAAGGCTGGCATGTTCATGGCATGTCTGGCCAGTGGAGTTGGGTATTAATGGTACTGTGTGCAGGGTGTGTGTGTGTGTGTGTGTGTGTGTGTGTGTGTGTGTGAAATTCATGTATAGATGCTGGCCTGTCCAAGTATTTGGATGCTGGGGTGCCAGGTACCTCAATGAAGGATAGGCTAGCAGATGTTGGGTTGACAGGCAGTAGAATAGACACCATGAGGGGTCCACTCGTTGGCTGGGTTGGATTTGGGGATCAACATCTTGGATGTTGGCTATAATGGGGTAATAGATGTTGGAGTTCAGAAAGTAATGAAAATGTAGGTGTGTGTGTGGCCTGTTGTCTGATTGGAAGTTGGAACATTACTGGGACGGGGATGGTAGCAGGTTCATGTGTCAGGCTTCAACCAGACAGAGTTGGGGTTCTGAATAGAGTGACTGAGTGACTCCGTGTGAGTCTGTCTGGGTAAGTGGGTGCCCAGTGTAGACAGACTGGGGACTGTGGCGTATTGGACGGTGGAGTATTAACCCTGAGGCTGGGTATCATAGGTGGGGCACTGTGGTGTGAGGCTGCGGAGTGTCAGCTGAAGCAGTCCCTCCGCCGTGTTCTGAATGTAGACCTGGGGAGGCCGTGAGGATCTTAGATGCCAGAGCAGTGGGGACCAGGAGCTGGGGGGGTCGGGGGACACATGGAGATGCACATGTACTGCATGGACATCTTTGGGTGGGTTGGCACTGGGGGAGAATGATGCGGGGGACTGTCCCATTGGCCCAGGGCCCCCTTCCGCACTCACTTGTAGGTCCAGCAGTCTCTCATGAGCGCGTACAGCTCCGGCGGACACTCCGGCGGGCACTCCATCCGCTTCCCCTGCTTGATGAAGTCATTCACCTCGGGGCCCTTCATCTTCTGCTCCAGCCAGGTGGAAGACACAGGTGAGGCACAAGCCCCTCCCCCGCCCCCGTTCCTTCCCCGCCCCTGCCCCTGCCCGTCTCTGCGGTGCCTGCCTTGTAGGGCTTCTGGCCGTAGGACAGGGCCTCCCACATAGTGATGCCGTAGCTCCAGACGTCGCTGCGGCTGGAGAACTTGCGGAAGTTGATGCACTCGGGCGCGTACCACTTGAGAGGCCACTTTCCCGCGGAGCGTGCCTG